ATCTTAATTCCCAGCATCTGACAGTGGACTTGATACATTCTTAAACGTTTCAGCTGCCCAATTTGTTTTGTTCTAATCGTGTTTAGATGCATCTTTGTCTGGTGAACTTTTTGTTAGAATATATGACGGCAAAAATAAAGTCGCCTATGGAATTAAGCCTAATCGAGAAATTTTTTGTGCAATGCAAACACGTAGAGCTGTCCCAAATTTTTAATTCTTTTATTCGCTATACAAAATATTTTTGTGAAATAGTCTTTTTATAGTAAATTTTGACCTATTAAACTAGGGCTTTTATTTTTCAGAAAAATGATTTGGAATTCCATCGGCCAGGGAATTACTTTCGCCTTGTCTCAGGTAGTCAGCTTCCTTTTTAACGCAGCAGTCCTTGCTCTCGGTGCATACCTTATGGACCAAAAGGAGGTGACAATTTTGAATGTATTCAGGTGACTCTTCACATTATTTTTACTCTATTCCATAATCCATCACTTTGATTCTATGTAGTAACAATATCATACGTCCACGTAGAACATTATTGAAATTCATTACCTAAAAAATGTATGGACAATTTAAATTTATAACAGAAATAGTCTGATCTCGTTTTCGCAATTTATTCGTGTTGTCAAGGCGACCTAGTTTAACGCACCCTGTACGAAGTCCTCTGCTGAAGTATTTATGCTAACTCCCAGCTTCTGACCATATACTTGGTACATTACCAGACGGTGTGCGTTCAACTATATCGCCTTGACAACACGACCAACTTGCGAAAACGATGTTAAACCACTTCTATGCAGCGAAAAGAGACTGCGACTAAAACGGAGACCATAACTTCTTGATCTTTATATCTAAATTTGCAACAATTGTCATTTTATCATAATATTTAGGACAAAAGGAGGACCATTTGCACCTTTTATATTTAGCATTTTATGGGTCGAAGTAAGTACTTAGTAAAAGCCATTCTGGCTATGAAACCCTAAAAGGCTAATAAAAGGTCTCCAAAGGCCAAAATAAGGACATAGTAAGGCTATAAATAAATCTTCTTATAGAATAATGCTTCTCTGTTCATGATAAAATAAAATATGTTGTGGAAATGCACCTAGTCAGGATTTTGATTTAGTAAGTAATAGGCTACTTGATAGATTCTTCGAATTATTTTTGTCATCATGCTCAGCTTTGCATCTAGGTCACACCAACTGTATACAAATAAATAACTTGCCACTAGAGAGTATTATATCTAGCGTAAATCTCTTAAAAACGGATCGTTTTTCTGCCAATAATGTTCGTATTTTATTTAACTATAAATATGCATATAAAAAACCTTGAGCTGTCTTGCATGTTAACTTTATATTAAATACTAGTATAATTTGAGCTTTTAGCGGAGGTATGCTAATACTTAGGCTATCTATTACTGTTGCTAAGCCGTATACCTTCAGTGAAATGAAAATGAAATCCTAATCGCAAGCTATATCCGTGATGAATTTTAGCCATGTTACTATAAATCACCTGTCATATAGGGAGGTTAGAACTTTAGAATATTTACTCTTCTTTATTTCACTGCATTGTCAGTATCTTCAAAATGTTGGTGGAAATTAGTTTGAAGCAGTAGGGGAACATCTCGTAAATTATATCCCATGGCTTTCAAAAATGCGAATAATTCTGGGCCTCTACATTTTTAGGGCTTTGTTTCTAACTAAATTATTAGTCATTAGTCATTTCCAGTGGTAGTGAAACGATTTCAAACATTTGGTTAATCTGCCTTCATATGCTAAAACTGGCCTTAAAATTTGTTCATTTATATGTAAATACTAAAAGTGATCTTGGTCCTCCAATTACAAGGTCGATTAAACCACTACTCATCGGCAAGCAATGATCGTAATCTAAAATTGAGAATTTCGACTCTTATTTTAGTCTTATTTCACATTGTAAAAAGCTCACAAAGATCTTTATCATTTAATGTATTGGTTGATAACGCCCATTTCTTATTCATCTCTTAGTTGCACCTTACAACACTTCTCGTCACACGTTTCAATGTTTCACTTATGCTTCATTCTTCCACTTAACATCAGGGTCTTATCTGTAGTCAATTTATGCTCCGAGGCCCTCGGCCGTTTGATCGCTTCTAGCGGGGATACTGGCCGGGCAATGAACGCTGCAGAAAAGATATTCTGCACTCTCGATCGCAGAGGTCGGATCCCACGAGACGAGGGTTGGTCACCAACTGGTGCGCCTACGGGGGACATTGAGTTCCGCAAACTCACATTCCAGTACCCAACTCGACCTGGCATCAACGTACTTAATGTTAGTGATGCCGTTTAGTTTTCCCAGACATTAAGAAAATGGGAATTTTGTGTTACCTAATAGTATCACTGCCTAACTATTATTTTAGTGAGATATCAATTAGGTTAGAAGTTTGTATCCCCCTCTCTCTCTCCATTTGACAGTTTTGATCTTTTATACCAGTTATTTAAGGATACGCAGGTGAGCTAATATAGCAATGGGAAGGATTTAGAAGTATAACGAGTCTGCAGTTATTTTTTAATCAAAGAAACCACTTTTACTCAGCATTAATAATAAAGTCACTCGCTATCTACACTTTGTTATATAAAGTTTGTTCACAGTGACCATATAAATATCAGGGTATTTTACCTGTTACATGCTACAATACCAAATCTCGAGGTAATCATGCTTAAGCTTAATTACTATCTTTTATTGATCATGCATACGTTTTTATACTACTTCTAATGAGTACCGCTTCTGGCAAAAAGACGCCTGGCTCCAGTACTAGGTCCAAAAAATAAAAATGTTCATATTACAGGTAAGATAGATTAAGCAGATAGAAAAAAGACTGTAGAACAAATTTAATGTACATGGTAGAAATGTCTTTAGTGTCGGTCAATTGGTACTTGTCGAATGCACGTCTGGATCTGGTCAAGTTAAAATGTAGTGAAGACGCAGGGAAAAAAGGGGGCTGAGGAAGCACAGGTTTCTTATTAGAGATAGATGGTTTATTGGGACGTGATACTATATAATTGTTTAGTTAATATTTCAAAGTTAGTCAAGAGTCTAGATTTTCCTCGAGAGATCGGTTGGGCCATCACACTACTTTGATTTCGTAGAGGTGTGAGGCTCGATGGTGCGACGATGTGCCCCGAGGTAAGGTGCAAAGATGGAG